CAGCATCAAACTCTACAGAAGTAGGATTGCTGCTCTTGTATGACTGCATTTTAAAGACAACCCTTTTCAAGAAGGTAACAGAAAAAAAGACATTTAATAGCAAATTTTATGAGAGAAGGATAAAAATCAGGTAATTCAACAGTTCCTGAAATCCCAGTGATGGTCAATAAATCGACTTGTGCTTCACATTATATGAAGAGGCTGCACTTAGTAAATCACTGTGTAAGCTGCCTCAATAACAGCAATCCTGCTMTCAAGTTTACATGCAATGAGTCCAACAAAAGAAATTAATTTCTTAGATGACAAGAAAAGGTTATCTAGAACTGGGAAAACACATGAGACAAAGATTTCCACTAACAGGTATCAGACACAGAGCTGAACTTGAAGCTATCTTGTTTTTTTCCCCTGAAAGATCTGAAACCCCTGTAGCCCAAACACCAGAGCTACAAAGAAAACATCCTGCAACCTGCCCTGCTAARAACACAAGGAAAACAGAACAAGCCACAGCTCTTTTCATGAGAACATGACTTACTCCCTCAGCTCCCTGCACACTGTTCCTCAAGCAAGGCCGAGAAAAAGAAAATATAATACAAGCCAGGTTCCAGACTTAAAAGCAAATATCACTTCGAACTACCAGCCAATTTACTTCCCAAAAACTTCAGTACAATATAATTTCCAGAATTCACAACATGCCCTWTTCAAAAGTATGAAGGTGTTTCTCATGACTCCAGCGAGCAACAAAATACACCTTCCTGGTATCATCTGACTGATTTTATTCATCTGTTTATTCCCATGACATTCCACAGGTATCAATCACTCATCTTATTTTCCAGTTATCAACTTTTTTCATAAATATGTCCACAAAAGGGCACCACTTTCCTCCACACTACCCTTTATTCCTCTCACTGTAGTAAAAACCTTTCTGTTCGTGTTCTCATTTCACAATGCTCACACTTGTCTATGCACATTAAGTGAGCAAACTGCTCTGATCTATCCACATGCCCAAAGGAAGTCAGCCAAAAACATGAGACAACACAGAAGTTTGATTTTGAAGGTCATAATATAAAAACGTGCATTCCCTGTCTCACGGCATCTTAATCCATCCAATATCCAGGAGCTCTGATCACACAACTGCATCTGTGCTGATGGCCTGATGACAACACTGCACTGGCAAGATCTATTTCTATACATTTTGGGTTAGTTGTAAAAGTTAAGTTGTAAAAAATGTTTCTGTTTCACAGCTGCAAAGATTAACATCAAATTTTAATCAATTACAAACCAAAGCCATGTGATTCACCTGAAATAATAACACAGAGATTTAGACCCTCAGTTTCTGTCCCACATCCATCTAATTCCAAGTGCCCAAATCAGCTGATTGAGCAGGGGACCTGTAGAACCATCCTAAGGATTCCTGCAGGTGCCACAGGAAGACAGACCTGCTGTGACATTTATAACTGAGGGAGTGGCTTGAAGTGGGTCAAACGGGGAAGAGTTCAGATCTCAATTTCAATTTCCATGGTGATTAGAAGAAAGAGCTTGTCTGAGGAGCTGTTTGGACCACTAATGCTAATTTTTAGCATTCCTTGGAAAACAGCCTATTTGAGAGGATAGAGAGAAATAATAACATGGTTTTTTTGTTGTTGTTTTTTGTTTGTTGGGTTTGGTTTCTTTGGGTTTTTTTTTTTAATTTGGATTTTTGTTGTTTTGTTGGGGCAGATCTGGTGACATGAGTAGCTATAATCTCATCTGTGTCACACTGATCACAAAGCAACAGAATGGCCAATAAAAGACTCTGGCTAGTAAAAAAAGGGAGAGGGTAATATAGCATTTGTGACATGACGTTCCAGAAAATATATTCTTGCACTAGCATGATTTTTAATTAAATGCTTAATGCTAATTAATAGGACAGATATAGCAGGTTTTGTATGGCAGCTGACTTGATGCAAAATGACATTTGATTAAGAAAATCAAAATCAACATGACACATCAAGTGGGCTAGAGACTGATAGCCCTCAGAATGTAATTGCAGATGAGGCCAAATACTAAATAAATGTTTCCAGCTTATAGCAATTAAATATCAACACAAAAGAGAACAGTTTCTTTTATCCCTCAAGAGCTTGACCCTATGTTATGCAGCAGTTTTGTCTATCCTCTGAAAAAAGCACAAGATGATTACTGAACAAATTTACAGATTAGAGCAATGAAAACAAGGATCAGTGGTGGAAAGCCATGTAGTTTGCCAGACAAAGAAGACTGGAGTAAATATCACCCTTTTTAATATAGCTAAATGTAAGAAAACATGCCTAAGCCCCACKTTCAGGCTGGCAGCCTCTTCTGAAAGCAGGTACTCTGAAAGGTCACTGTAGAAAAACATTTGTAGGGAGCTTCSAGGGAGATATTGTGGGTAAACAGGACCATGGAGATAATTTTGCTTTCAAATTTCCTCCAAAGCTGAAACTACACAAGTGAGGTTTTGGGACAGTTGACAGCAGCTGGTGACAGAAACTCACACAGTTTAAAAAAACCAAACCAACCACTCCCTAGAAAGCAACCAAAAGTTCGATTGAAACAGATGTAGAGAAGTATTTGGGCATTTAATGCCTTCCTAGAGGTCAAATTGGATGGAACTCAGGTATCTGAGAGACAGGAAGCGAAACAGAAGCCAACTCTACTCACAGTTCTCTGAGCAACCTCTTCATATGCCAAATATAAGCATTCAAGCTCTSCTGTTTCTTCCTTTCATACCTTGTCTTTGCAGAACATGCAAAGCATTAATATTTCCTTTTCCTGAAAGAACACTCATATCYTGAAAAGCTGAACTTAAAGGAAGCTACTCACACATGGTGAAACTAAACATCTTGCTTTCTTCAGCAATTAAATCCCACTGCTACATGTCACTGCTTTTTTCACCTGAGGTATAAAAATGCCAGATAATGCTGTCACCTCACTCACCTGTTATGAAACCTCTTAGTAAGCACTATGCAATCCCCCAGCTGGTGACAGTCCTGTGACAGGGCACTTACCAATTGCACCCAGAATATCTGCTGCTTTGTTCTGGTCATGAATGTACAGAAAAGAGGAAGAAAAAGCCTAGAGAACAATTGATCTTGGATCTCTTTATATCAAAACCCATCTCATCATTCTCAGCTCTTTCAGTTAATCCCTCCACCTTTATATAAGGTTGTATTTAGAACATCACACCAGCTAAACAACACCAGCCTGTAACATAAAAGCTCATACATCCAAAGTGCTCAAGGACACATAAAAGAGTGATAGAGCTGAAGAATTACAGCCCTAGCTCCCAATTCCCTGCCTGGGGTTCTCAGGTTCCCCCCTGACAGCRTGTGGAACAGTGCAGCTGTCATTCTGGCCATGATCAAATCAGCGACAACAAATCGAGAGCTGTGACACCAAATCCTTTTAACCACTCTAAGGGGATATTTCTGCCACAAGTTTTATACCACAGGACCACCTCAGACAGCTCCAAGCCAAGTTTCTCCCAGCAGAGCCCACCTGCCCACAAGCCAGGACCCAGCTGCAGTGGAGAGGCTTTGGTTTCCCTACCTGCCACCTTTCAACATCAGTGCAAAGCTTCAGAGTCCAAAGGGACACTTGTGGACTCTCAAAAGAAAGCTGGAGGGACAGAGAGGAATCAATGTCAAAACAAGCAAATAGCTTTCAAGTGATCTGGGACTCTAAAAARGAAGGGAGTTTATTTTTAGCCTGCCTGCAAGCAGCTCCAGGTGCTTTTCCTTTGTCCCCATGGCAGTAGGTAAGTGAATRCACCTGCCTCACCTTGCACCCTGCTGATGGTAAACACGAGGTCTTGCATTCAGGTTACAATGTGGAGTTACTTCAGTGCAGCCCTGTGCCAAAATAGCACATTTCTGAGGGATGCAAAGGTATTCAATAAAAAGCTTTTAAAGGCATATTTTTAAACTTGCAGCAGGAAAGCTTTTCTGTGTCAAGACAGTAATTCTTTTAACAGCATTGATCAAAATGTCATTCTTTTATGAGTGTACAATACCTTTTAATGGCCTACAACAAACCATTAGGGTTCTACACCTCTGTGCAGCAYACAGTTTACAGGAAAATCAGGAACACTGGCCAAGAGACAGCCACTGGGTTTTATGCCTCTCATAAGGCAGAGTTTCTCCCATTCTCTGCTGCATTCAAATACCCACAAGTGAAGTGACCTCAAAAAATTAAATCAAACTTCCTATCACTTCCATCAGATTTTCCCACATATCTTCACAAAAAAATGCCTCTCATAAACACATAGAATATTCTGGCTTTCCAAAGCAGGATTTTATCACCAGGATCTGATCTGGCTCTTTCTTTTCCTCGCCAGTGATCACACTTACCCCAAGACAGCATTGACTGAAGAATCGGAGGAGGATGAATAAAATGAAATGGGTTTGATATTCAGAAATGGGAAGAAGTGCCACCTGCCCTTTCCTAACACTGAAGTCTGGGTCAGAACCCATCTACAAACCATCTGGTTGTYTGTAAGTGCTGCAGCCCTTCAAAGTACGAGAGCACTCATGATTGCATTTGCTCTGCTGGAATGAGAGACCAGCATGGGCTTTCTGGATACTTTCAGCACTTTAGAGCCTGATTTTAGTTACAAATATCAACAGGAAAGGGAATGATTTCCATCAACACACCTTCAAGGCTTTCTCTGTCAAGGGCAAGAGAATATTTATGGGATTTAATCATCACTGTTAACTGAGCAGTGGCAGCAGCAAAAGAGCTGWATTTCACTCTCTGAAATACTTCTGGATAATTGCAAGATCTCAGCTACTTCTRGAAGGGTAAAACCATTAGTATAAACAAATAAAAAAACAATTCCCAATAAAACATAAGGTGGAATTATAAATCAAAGGCAGGAAAACTGACTAGGAAAAGGAGACAAAAAAAAAATAATGAGGTTCAAATTCAAAAGCTGGAGTGAAATTAATTTCAGTTAAGAAAAGTTTAAGAGGGTGCTTGTCTCTTACCTGCTCAGAAACAGCCTTGTGCTTCTATCTTCCAGTTATGAGATGTTGCTGTCAGCTTTCTCAGTCCCATCTAAAATTTAAAACCAAAGTTAATTTTTAAGACAATTTTTATAAGCATACATAAATTAAACTCAAACAGTACAATTTATGCKCCAGAAGATGCCATTGTCTCACTCAGAACACCACAAAGCCAATGATGCTTACATCTCCCCCACATTCATTATTAAACACAAGGCCAGACACAGAGGTCACCCTCCAAAAAGCAGAACTGTACCACATGATCCAACTRGTAACCCAGACCAAAACCTAGTCAGAGTTAGAATTTCATAGGCATCAGGGAGGGATTTCTCAGTATCACATACCAGGTGAGTTCAGAGTTCTAATTTCATGTTGTTGTAGTCAGAGTGAACACTCTTTCAAGCACATCTGGGATTTTTTAAACAAACACGTGATTTTCTAGGTTATCCAAAGTACATCAAGTAAAACCCTTGCATCTTGCAATAGCAACTAATTTCTTCTTGGCCTACACTACATTCTSGGCAATAAACATSATGGCAGCATAGGAGAGCTATTCCTGTCTTTTTTTCCCTCCCATACAGCTTGGTTCAATAAAAGCAAGTCTCTATTTCTCTAGCTCAACAATCACGTGGAAATAAACTAGAGTCTTGAATTAAGGGGGTCAAACAGGACCAACATAAGCAGAAACCCGACTCACGGAGCACTTCAGCACCCACCAGATCAGTGTTTTATTTTAAATCTCCACCCCTGAAGGCTTTTAATAGCAGGGTTAGCATAATTTGTCAGAAAATATAGAGATGCATTTGATCTCACTTTTCAGCAAGGAATCAATCCAGATCATGTTTCCTAATGTCTTTGCAGCACAACCTGCCTAAAGAAAGCATTGCACCCCGGTGTAAAAACGAATGGCCACTGTGACCGTCCCCAACGTGCGGAGCTCTGCCTCTCACCCGCCGCCTCTTTCCCTGCAGAGTTCAGGGAGCTGCCTGGATAGATGGGAACCTCCCAAGCACTAACCTGCTCCGTAGTTTGGAAGGTGCCAGGCTTTCCCAGGACCCGGCAATGCAGAGTCTCGCCCATCATTTCTCCGGAACGGCCACGGAGGAGCCGGCGGGAGCAGCAYGGCCTGTCCCAGCTTGGACAGCGCGGCCGGGGAGGAAGCCCTGCCTCCCCCGCGGCCTCTCTGGAGAGGAGGGAGAGCGAACGGGAGCTCGTCCGTCAGCACCTGCCTGGGCTGTACGAGTGGCACAGCGCAGACCCACAGCGCGGAGCCGAAGAGCGGCCCCACAGCGCAGACCCACAGCAAGGAGCCGCAGAGCGGAGCCGCAGCGCCGATCCGGCCCCGCCACCACCCAGAGCCCGGTTTGAAGGGCCCGCCAGCCCAGCCTCCCGCCCCGCCCCGGATTGACGGGACCCTCGCCCAATCGGAAGGCGGGAGAGGGCAAGCCCCGCCCCCAGAACGACCAATCAACACTTGCCAAGGGTGGGGGCGGTRCCGCCTGCGCACGCGGAACACCTCGCGAGTCCCGCGGGCCCCAGAGCGTTGATTAACGTACGGATCGTCCAATCGCAGCCTGGCTTCCCGCCCTGCCTGGCGCCGATTGGGCACCGGGGAA